AGCACCAGAGGCAGCGGCTACCGAGCGAAGGTTGCTCTCGACGTCCTTGAGTGCAGACTCAAGGACCTCGACGGTGAGCTCACTAGGGTGCTTCAGCAGAAGCGCGTCGCGAACGGAGGCAAGGCGGTCAGGGAGGCTAGTGGCGATGAAATAGATAGTGATCGCCATAGGGGGAGGAAGCAGTGCAAGCTGTGTCTCAGTGCAAGCAGCGCGGTAACTAGCGTCGAGCGAGCGGAGGTGAGCGATCAAGTCAGCAGAGCGCTCAAAAGACGCTAGGTCAGGAAACAGGAATGGGAGGAACAGGCGGCCAAGAGAGACAGCAGCGGGAGTAGAGTAGCGGGCCTTAATCGCAGTGAGGTACTCAGCAGCGGTGCGAACCTGAGTGAAGTGAACCTCCTCAGACTCAGGGAGGAGGCTGCTGAGCGCGATGCAGGCCGCAGCGTCACGTGACTTCCAAGCCGTCTGGTCAGCTCGCTGAGTGGCAAAGCGGGCTCTAGCGGCGTCATCAGGGGCAGGTCCTAAAGGCGTAGGGTCGGAGGGCGCAGGTAGGGCACCAGTAGCGTGCGCCCAGAGGGTCTCGCCTGCCTGGACCTGACTCTCTAACAGACGGCGAGCACGAAGAAGCCAGACGGAAAAATCAAGAGGTCTACCGTCAGCGTCGAAACGAAGGACGCGAGGGGTCGCCATAGTGTGCAAACGGAATTGGCAGGGAAAGCAGGGTGCAGCGGCAAGGGGGAACGGGCAGGAAGAGCGGGCAAGAGCGGGCGGGTAGGTAAGGTGTGGCGGGCGTCTAGGGTAGGAGCGCGCGGGCTAGGGCAGGAGCGCGCGGGCGGGTAGGGCAAAGGCGCCGGGCCAGGGCGACGGGCTGGGGCGCGGGCCTGGGCGACGGGCTAGGACGCGAGCAGGGGGAACCGCGGGTCGACAGGCAGCGGGGGGAAGCGCGGGTCGACGGGCAGCGGGGGGAAGCGCGGGTCGACGGGCAGCGGGGGGAAGCGCGGGTCGACGGGCAGCGGGGGGAAGCGCGGGTCGACGGGCAGCGGGGGGAAGCGCGGGTCGACGGGCAGCGGGGGGAAGCGCGGGTCGACGGGCAGCGGGGGGAAGCGCGGGTCGACGGGCAGCGGGGGGAAGCGCGGGTCGACGGGCAGCGGGGGGAAGCGCGGGTCGACGGGCAGCGGGGGGAAGCGCGGGTCGACGGGCAGCGGGGGGAAGCGCGGGTCGACGGGCAGCGGGGGGAAGCGCGGGTCGACGGGCAGCGGGGGGAAGCTCGGTTCAACGGGCAGCGGGGGGGGGGGGGGGGGGGGGGGGGGAGGAAGCGCGGTTCGACGGCAGCGGGGGGGGAAAGCGCAGCGCGACCTGCAGCGGTACGCTAGATCGGGCTACGCTAGATCGGGAGGAAGAACGAGCGGTAACGAACGAACGGGACTAGATCGGGCCGGCACTAGGCTCGGGCAAGACGGGCGAAACGAGAGCTAGGATCAGGCTCGGGTGGTACGATCGGAGAACGGAGAAACGGGATCCCACAGGATCCTAACCTAACTGATACCATGTCAAAATGAGAAATGGATGATGCATTGATGTTGGTTGGGGTACATATAGCTAACCCTAAGTTTTGTACCCCCTAAGACAAACCTCACTATAGGCTACAACACTTGACAAGTACAAATAGGACAGAGAGGAAGGGGAAAGGGGTACACCACCAGCAGTTGGTTCTAATTACTAAACTAATACACTAGCAAGCTGTAGGCAGTTATAAGATATGCTATATCGATTAACACCACCTTGCGCTGGTATGTGAGGGCAAAGTAGATTGATTAAAGCAAGGAGATACAGGGCTTTTATAAGAATACAGAGAATACAGAGAGATATAACTAATAACCAACCGTTTTGCTGTTGCTGTTGCGGTTCGATATAGTGACGACTCGGGCAGCTGTTCAATAACGAATCAGTTGTTTGTCCTTGCTGTTGCACTGTACTTTGTCGAGTCAAAGGTCGCGTGACCTTTGACCTTCGCGTAACCTCCAGCGGTTACCATTTCTTGTCAACCTCCGATGGTTGACTCGCCGTTGCTGCGCTGTTGCTTGCTCCGTTTGTGTTTACTGTTTCGACACGACAGAGGCGCTTAAATCATTGTTTCCAACAAAGCCAACTGCATATACCGTACCTTAGCACCAGCTCTATATAGGGAAGGGATGTGGTGTAGCATCCAGGGGTTCCTGGTGGGAGCCAGCCAGTGTTATGAGTGCATGGGTTTCACAAAACTGGACCAATAAGCACTAACTCAAGCTGGGAAACGGTACCGTAGAATGTCCTACAGTATTAATGTCCCGATGAGACTAACTTTGACTTGTTTCAATCATAGTGTGTGCTCTTACATGTGAAATACGACTACAGGAGTGTTCGCCAACAACCCCATTGCTTGCTACCGACGGGATACGGTAGTTGTACTCAATAAAAAATGAGGCTACCAATGCTGCCGGTATGCACAACAACACTCAAGTGAAATACACAGCTAATTGCCCTGACCCAAACCAGTAGTTTCCTCCAAACTCCCAATTCTCGGACGTGCCTTCCCCCCAATTCACCACTCTGAATGGGCCCTTCAGGAAATACACCTGAAAATACGAGTCACCCCAGGAGTGTGCCACCTGGACCGTGGCGGAAAATGGTTCACCGTCGTACACGGAGTGCTCGGACTTGATCACCATCACATTGTAACCCTCGTTCACGAAAATAATCACCAGAATATCCGCCACCTCGGAGTCCTCCCAGCCTTCGACCACGCCCAGGTTCCCTGAAGCCACTGTATCCACCGTCACCCCCTCCCAGCTCATCAGCTTCCGCTCCACCCTGCGCGGAGATCCCAAGGCAGATCCGGCGGTGACGGCGGTGGCTGCGGTGGAGGATGACGTCTGCAGCATGGGCCGTGCTGCGCTGGCGCTGGTGACGGCGAGGAGCACGAGGAGGGAGAGAGGCAGCAGCTTGCGCGCTGCGCGCGGCCACGAGTTACTCGCCATAGTCGAGATGCCTTGGGACCGTCGCAGTAAACGCCGTATGATTGAGAGAAAGCCCGTTGATGGTGCTACTAAGGAAAAAGCCGTTGAAAGGAAAGCCGGTTGAATTTGCAACAATGGAAAAAGCAGTTGCTGAAGAGCTGATGGACAACGAAATCCTGAACATCTAATATATAGATCTCCGTTTTCAAGCCTAGATCTAACAGCAGCTCACTATCTGCTCGTGCCGCCATAGCCATAAGGCTGCGATTCGGATTCAGTCGCGAAGCACACGTGAAGGCTGTTACTGTCATGGCAAATCTGAACTGGAAGCTCGAGCGTAGAAGGCACGCTAGATCACGGGAAAGAGAATTGGTACGGACTGGCTTCAACAGTTGGTGAAGGAGGCGGCGGCGAGTAAAAAGCAGTCGGGAGGGATTGTAGTGCTGCTGGCGACTCTGACGATCTTCGTGAACTCGTGTAACACACGCAACTGTACAGCTCGAAGGGTACCGTACACAATGGGTAGGCGAAAGGCCTGGGATAAGGGCGTGGAACATCTGGAGTTTTTCAAAACGAATGGTACGGTTCGGATGGGTACCGCTCTGAAACACACCAGAACTTACTTCAGCGTACCGTTTACAAAATATACCATTTTCAAACAGTGTGGCCTAAAATCTATCTGAACAGCCTCTGATTGGCGACTCAGCCTCCGCTCGCTTCCTCCTAATGCGTCTGCTCGGAGCAGACGTGTAGCCGAATTCACGATATATGAGTAAGTTTTTTTCGACGTCTCAAAAACGCTTTTTCCTAATGGCGTGCGAGGACCAGAAGTGGAGCCGAAATCGTGACGACAGTTACCACTCGACCCAGCTTGCGAGATCGAACCGAAATCACACGCGTGGCGCAGAGCGACCATCCTCTCGTGCGACCGAGCGACCACCCTCTGGTGCGACTGAGCGACCAACCTATCATGCGACCGAGCGACCAACCTATCATGCGACTGCAGCAGACAGTTCCAGGTTCGCGTTCGCGACGAATGAAATGGAAACCGTCACGAACGGGAGCGAGCGGGAGAGCGACAGAACCGGGGGTGGCCTGTGCGACCCTGTACCTGGCGCTCGTCCACCAGATGGGTTGAATGCGGTGCAGTCTGGTGGAGTAGCGCGCCGGGAAGTGGAAGGCGTAAAGGAGGGAGCGGCTCGTGAGGCGTCAGCTGGGCGGAACGAGCGATGGCTCATGGCAGCGCTGATGGCGGAGGGATTGAATGCGGTACAGTCAGGTGGAATAGAGCGAGGACAACAAGGCGGAGAGGGATTGAATGCGGTGCAGACAGGTGGAACGGAGCGATGGCTCATGGCCGCGGTGATGGCGGAGGGATTGGCTGCTCCGATTGGTTCCTTGGGGCGTGGTTCTGGACTGCCCGTTCTAGACGGTCAACAATGTCAACGCAGTCAACGTGGTCCAGCGCTGGAAAGTCAACGCGGTCAACACACTTCAAGTAGTCGCAGTGACTCCGGCGTCCTGGCCGTGGGCTTGCACCAGACTCACATTCCGGCTCCCGCACACGCCGCCCCATCTCCCTTGCACGCTCGTTCCCACACCCTCCCTCACCCTCACTCCCACACTCCCACTCCCACTCCTCTATCCACCCCCTCCTGCCTTACCACAATCACAGCTATTCATCCAAACCCTAGTTCCACTCGTCTTTTTGAGGCTCCTAAGTTCACAAACCCTAATTCCGCTCAACCCGTTTTCACAAAATCCTCTAACCCCACGAACCGTCCATTCAACCATTTATCCAACCATCCATCTAACCATCCAATTAACCACCCGTCCAACCCTCCGTCCAACTCTCCATCCAGCCGTCCATCCAACCAGGGCCGGGACCAGCCCCTGAAAGGACCCCTTTCGCACGCTCCCCCTCATCACCGTCCATCCCTCAGCCCTTTTCATCCTCTTGACAGTAAAGAAAGTGACAGGCTCGGTGATGACAGGCTCGGCACGGACATGCTTGGTACGGACAGGGTTGGCATGGACAGACTCGGCACGGATAGGCTCGGCACAAACAGACTCGGCATGGACAGGCTCGGCAGGGGCAGGTTCGGCCAGGAGACGCTTCATGGTGAGAGTGGGAAGCAGAGGCTCGAGCACAACCCATCAACCCATTGTGGCCCTTCTTCTTCTTGTGTGTCAGCTGCTATTGGTGCACAGTCCTGTGCTGTCCCCATGGTTGCTGCACGCCCACATATTATTCCCATGGGTACCTGCCCTCGTGGTACCCCCATGGGTACACACCCGCGTGGTCGTGGTTCCACCACGCGGGCGCCCGTGGGCACAGCTGCTGCAGATGCAAGGGTTGGGCATGGTGATAGTGATGGAACCAGAGGTGATACAAATGAGGCAGGCAGAAACGAGAGAGACAGGAAGGAGTGTGATACAGGAGGGGCCAGCGGTGGTGCTGAGGAGGATGTGACTGCAGACCAAGTGCCTCTGCCCAACCATCCAGGTGAGACAGCCTGCCATTCTCGTTATAAGCACATGCCAAACCCGGGTTAATCTCAGTGGCCTTGGTGTTTCCCATACCCACGATTGTGCCCCTGGGCCCTAGCTGCCTGTCTTTTGAGGCGCCTCAAAAGTCCCCTGGGTCCTAGCTGCCTGTTGCTCTGGTGCTCCCATTGACTGGCTCGCCACCAAACAGTTCAAGACCTGCAAGGGGGAGCAGGAGGAGCTAATTGAGCCTTTCTGGCCATGGCGAGAGAATACGAGGCAAGGAAGGTTTTCAGGCCTCCATTCCCGCACTTGTGTCCCTTTCTGTGCCCCTTCCTGCCTGCCTGTTTCTCTGGACTTGAGCTGGCGATGGAGCGAGATTTTGAGGCGGGGAAGATGCCTCCATGCATCCATGCATCCATGCATCCATGCATCCATGCATCCATGCATCCATGCATCCATGCCTCCAGTCTGTGTCCTTTGCTGCTGCATGCCGTTCTTTCTTCCCCCAGCCTGGCTCACAACCAAGTGGCTCTGGAGGAACCGCAAGGAGGAGCTGATGGAGCTTGAGGTGGCGATGGAGAGGGGGAGTATGAGGCAGGGAGGATGCTGCTGTTGACTCGACGCCGTGCTTCCATCCATGTCATGTGTCTGTGTGCTGTTCTGTGCCGCTCTCCTTGCCATTCTTTCAGGCTGGCTTACTACCAAGCGCCGCAAGAGTCGGAAAGAGGAGCTGTTAGAGCTTGAGTTGGCAATGGAGCGAGAGTATGAGGCCGGGAAGAGGCAGCAAAATGGAGGGAGGGTAGACGCACCCAAGAAGTTGAAGAGGGGGGAGGGTGCGTGGGAGTGGGGTGATGGGGGGGAGCGGGCAAATGGAGAGAGAGGAAGGAGGAGGAGTGGAGAGGCAGGGCTTGAAGGTGAGGTGATAGATGGGGAGGAGGAGGAGGTGGAGGAGGAGGTGGAGGAGGAGAGGGAGTGCAGGGAAACGGGAGAGAGAGAAGAGAGGGGGGAGGGGGTAGGGATGCAGCAGTCTGGTGGTTATACTGTGGGGGGAGAAACAGGTGGTGGGCATCGCTTGAGAGGAAGGGAGATGGGAAGTGAGATGGGAGGGGCGAGGAGTGGAGATGGGGAGATGGAGAGGGCGAGGGAGCGGGAGAGAGAGAGAGAGAGAGGGAGAGAGAGAGGGAGAGGGAGAGAGAGAGGGAGAGGGAGAGAGAGCGAGAGAGTGAGCAGGAGAGGGAGTGGGCAAGGGAGGTGGAAAGAGAGAGGCAGAGAGAATGGCAAACCCAATGGCAGCAGCAGCAGGAGCAGCAGGAGCAGGAGGAGCTGCAGCAGCGGCGGCGGCGGCACTCACGGCGGGGAGGGAGAGTTGAGGCGTTTGGGCTTGAAGAAGAGGATTCCATTGACCAGGTGCGTCGTCAGGTTGGGATTAGTTTTGGGAGTTCCTGGAAGCAACCACAACGGGCGGGGAGAGTTGAGGCATTTGGGCTTGAGGAAGATGATTCCATTGACCAGGTATTGTTGATGTGCTGCTCACCATCAATTAGTGATTTCCATCCATTGCTGCTTTACTTCTCCCTCATACCCTCCCTTTCCCCCCACACCCCTCTCCGCTCCCCCCCAGCTCTCTCCCCAACTCCCAACCCCTCCCCGACCCCCCCCCCCCTCTCCCCCTCTACATCTCCCTCTCCCTCTCCCTCTCCCTCTCCAGTCCAGTTCCACCCCCTCCACTCCTTGACACCCTCCTTCCTATGCACAACTCTTCAAAAGCATGCTCCCTTAGCATATTGCGCAACCTACTTCTGATGCTCTTTTTTTCTTGTGGACAGATGGTCCCTGAAGATTGATCAGTGGACAATGGGCACCTGGATGACCTGGGAATTATGTTTGCCTGATGCTGTGTTTCAGCTTCTTGTGACCTGACATTCTGATAATTGTTGATTCAGTGTCAGTCATTCTCTTTTAGTCAGGTGCTTGTTCAATTCAGTTGCACATTGTGAAGACTGGTGCGGTGAAGTGTACAAAAACGTAGATTTCACAAAATCGTTTTTGGCTCTCTCAGTAAACAAATCCCAGTCTGAAGCGAGTCTGAACAATTCAATGGAACCGTACGCGTTAAGGCAGCTACTACACCTCAAAAACCTCGAAGTTGCCGTAGTTTTGAAGCACCACCACACAATGGCCCATCCCTTTGATGGCCCAGCAAAGGCGTGGCGAACAGGGCCAATCAGTGGTACCGTGGTGGTAAGGCTGAGCACTCGCGGCGCAATAGCAAGCAGAAGCATACTTGTAGGCTGGCAGCTAATTGAACGATTTTTTGCGGATATCGGATCGCCGTTACGCACGCCGTCCCAGTTTTCGGTCTCCGGACGGAATTCGTTAATCGCAGATAGAGCTGTGTCGTTAGTTTACGTCTTCTTTACGCGATCGCCCTCGCCGTTCCGCCGTCCCGCGACTCCTCACCCGTCCCGAGGCTCCTAAACCGTCGCCGCGCTTTGAAACACGTTGCGCGGCTCTTAGCCGTAACTGTCGCATCGATCGCAACCCTAATTTCAGTCGCTTTGAAAAGGGATCGAAGCTACCACAGCCGCAGCTGTTTCCTCGCGAGCCTGCGATCCGTCAGACTGCTTCCGCCTGCAGCGAGGTTTACGTGGGTTCGCTGGTTACCCGCACTGCGTTTCCCAGCCGCGAGAGGGTGTTTACGAGATTTCTCTATCCGATTGCTTCCTGTTGGGGCAAGGCTCTTTAGGTTCGCTGTACTCGCACTGCGTTTCCGGCCGCGAGAGCTGGATCGCAGGATCGACGTGGCGAGAGTGACGTGGCTCGAGTGACGTGGCGAGCGCGAAGTCGCGATGGTGTGGTGCAGCTACTGCGGGCGCGACCAGCAGGCGGAGGTCGACGAGGCGAATGGCTTCTCGTACGTCCCTTCATCACTGCGCATTCCTCTCATTCGTTCACAATTCGCGTGTGTTCCAGTCAAGCGTAACAACGGAGTGTAGCAGCCGAATGTATCAACCGAATCGTTCAATCGGATCGGCCTGGCACCTGGTTGCGCCGTGGATCACTCGCTCTCCGCCGCTCCCAGCGCCTCAGTGTGACTGCCTGCGTTTGCTTGTGTCCGCCTGCCTCTCCGCGCCCTGCTTGCCTTCCCCCCTCAATCACAGCTGCTGCAGCTGGACGAGCTGCTGCAGCTGGACGAGCTGCTGCACGGGGTGTGGGCGAGTGCTGGACGATACCGTCTCCACGTGCTCCCATCCCAACCAACCCACGCACCCCCCTGTGCTCCCTTCTCCGCCTCTTTGTGTGCCTGCCTGCCTGCCTCTCCCTCCTCCCCGCCACAGTTGCTGCACGGGGTGTGGGCGTGTGTTGGACGATACCGTCTACTCGTCCGACACAGTTTTCATGAAGCAATCCGATGGCTCGGTAAGCAGGAAACGCAATAACAAGTACATGTTGTGATCGCAGAAATACCCGACTGCACTCTACCGCTCTCAACCGTTTCGCTGGACCACTGGCCCCCCACCACACCACACAGCCCCCCCACCGCTTCAAACCCTTCGTCCTGACGCCTTTGATTAATTTTCAACATTCGGCACACACCCTCTTCCTTCCAATTGCCTCGTTTTTTGAGACATCTGAGAATTCTCAAAAAACAGATTCAGCTACCATCGCAACCCCCCCCCCCCCCCCCCCCCCAACTCACCGCTTTCAAACCCTTCATCCTGACGCTTCTGGAGATATTTCAACATTCAGTTCACACCCTCTTCCTTCCACAGTCCACTTGCCTCGTTCCCTCTTTCCCGCCCTCTTTCTGGTAGTCCCTTTGCTCTTCTTGTGTTTCAAAATATGGCTCGTGAATCGCCTCATAGGCCTTCCACTTGCCTCAGTCCCATTTTGCCTCCCTCTTCTCTGTAATCTATTCGCCCCCTCTATCTCTCCCGCTCTGTTCCAGAGCATGGCCATGGGAAGCTTCGTGGCAGATACAGGAGGAGGCGGGCCGGTGGTGCGTCTGGGGGGAGCCAGGGGGTTCGCCTTTGGAGGCTCGTCAGAATCACACGAGCGCACAGTCATGAGAGGTGGGTGTGATACAAACGAATGCAGCATTGGTGGGAGTTAGCGGAAGGAGGAGGCGGGCCGGTGGTGCGGCTGGGGAGAGCCAGGGGGCTTGCCTTGGGAGGCTCGTCAGAATCACACGAACGTACAGTCATGAGAGGTGGGTGTGATACAAACGAATGCAGCATTGGTGGGAGTTAGCGGAAGGAGGAGGCGGGCCGGTGGTGCGGCTGGGGAGAGCCAGGGGGCTTGCCTTGGGAGGCTCGTCAGAATCACACGAACGTACAGTCATGCGAGGTGGGTGTGATACAAACGGATGAGAGGGGTGTGACACAAACGAATGCAGCATTGCAAGAGGAGGGGTTCCAGCAGTGTGGCTGGGCTGGGGGGAGCCAGGGGGTTTGCCTTTGGGGACTCGTCAGAGTCACATGAATGTACAGTCATGAGAGGTGGGTGTGATACAAACGATTGTTGCCTCCCTCCCTCTTCACCGCCTCTCCGCTCACCCCTCACCCTCCTATTTCATTCCTCTTTGCCGCTTGCTGATGATGCTCCTCGCTTGAGCCTTTGAGGAACTCCTAAAGCTCCTCCTCCTTCCCAATCCCCTGTCCCTCACCCCCCAATCCCCTCACCCCCCAATCCCCTCACCCCCCATCCCTCCCTCTTGAACCTTTGCAGGGCGCAATGAAATTGCAGAGATGGCTGAGCGTCTGGCTGTGGTGGTGGTGCGGTCATCCTCGGTCTAACCGTCTAACCAATTCCCTGCACTCCAACCCTCCAATCCGTCCCTTCAAAACCTGCAGGGCGCAATGAGATTGCAGAGATAGCTGAGCGTCTGGCAGTGCGACCACGAGAGGACATGATTGGGTCAGCGCACCGGCTGTACCAGGTACTAATCCCAAACCCCCTTTTGAACCCTCTTGGTGTCTTCATATTTTTGTGAATTTATGCAAACCGTCTTATTATATTTGAAACCCCGAACTGGAAATCTGTTTATCCGGAGTACATACTATTACAGGCACACGGGGTGTCGTAGTGGCCCTGCATGCTCCCATATGTGCATTCATGCCGTTCAGCACATGCCGTCTCTGGTTCTATAGCGTCGCACATCCGCACATGCATGGCATGTGAATCGCACATGCTGGAACGTCCATCGCACATGCTGAACGTCCATCGCATATGCTGGAACGTCCATCGCACATGCCATGCACACATGCATGCATGGTCATTACACCTATGCGTGCGTGCACATCTGCCCTTCCCCCACCCGCCCTTTCTGACTCGTGACTGCACCCAGGGACGACGAGTGGCGCAGGTGGAAGCTGTCTCTTAGAAGGCATGCTTTTTAGAGAGTTTTTTTTTTTTTTTTTTTTTTTTTTTTTTGCCCCAGGCATGTTGACGCATCGAGAAGCGTCGACATTTTGCAAAAGAGAGCGTCGCATGCTTGTCTGTTGAGATATACCAAGGAAGGCGAGTGGCGCAGGTGGCAGGGCTGGGCAGCTGTCTCGTGGAGCTGGCTGCTGACTTGAGTTAGCCCCTCTCCTCCTCCCTCTCCCCAACCCCCAATTTCCCAACAACTCCTCCTTTCCTCAGCTGGCTCTGAATCGTAACTTCACCCGAGGAAGGCGAGTGGCGCAGGTGGCAGCTGCATGCCTCTACCTCGCCTGCAGGTGGGTCCGTGTGCCTGAGCAGGTGTGTGCTTGACGTTGATTATTGATTCTTAGGGTTGACTGAGGGAGGCGAGTGGAGTGGCGCAGGTGGCAGCTGCATGCCTCTACCTCGCCTGCAGGTGGGTCCGTGTGCCTGAGCAGGTGTGTGCTTGACGTTGATTATTGATTCTTGGGGTTGACTGAGGGAGGCGAGTGGAGTGGCGCAGGTGGCAGCTGCATGCCTCTACCTCGCCTGCAGGTGGGTCCGTGTGCCTGAGCAGGTGTGTGCTTGACGTTGATTATTGATTCTTGGGGTTGACTGAGGGAGGCGAGTGGAGTGGCGCAGGTGGCAGCTGCATGCCTCTACCTCGCCTGCAGGTGGGTCCGTGTGCCTGAATCCATGCTTGATTCTAGAGCGTCAAATATTATAGTTTTGACTGAGGCAGGCGACTAGCGCGGTGGCAGCAGCAGGTCTTTAGCTCGCGTGCAGGTGGGCTTGTGTCTGATGCTGCTGGGCTTGTATCTGATGCTGCTGGGCTTGTATCTGATGCTGCTGGGCTTGTATCCGATGCTGCTGGGCTTGTGTCTGATGCTGCTGACCGACAGGCAGGACAAGCAGCCCTCTTCTTTTTGCTTTTTATTGAGATTTACGACTTGCTTTGAGGCACCTTTATATGTCAAGCTTCCTCTTCTCTCCTGACTCATCCCACGTCTCCCCCCTTGATTCGTCTCCCCCATGTGCATTGGTTGGCTGGCAGGCAGGAGAAGAAGCCCTTCCTTCTTATCGACTTTGCCGACTTGCTGCAGATCAATGTGTAAGTGTGCCGCTCACCAGCCGCTCACCAGCCGCTCACCAGCCGCTCACCAGCCTCTCACCAGCTGCTCGCCAGCCGCTCACCAGCCCGTCACATCCCAGTTTTCATCCTCTCACAAGCCTCTCTCCCTCTGTCTTAGCTTCTCTGAGTGGCTGGCTCTCCTTTAGTAACGCACGCTCCTCTCTCCCCCACTCCCCCACTCACGATTTCATTCTCCATAGGGTGACAACTGTGATGATTTTTAGGCACCGGAAAAAGGTAGACAACCATTAGCAGCTCCAGGTTATGTCTCCTTCCATTCGTTTTCGAATTCGCTTCACTCTCTCCCAATCTTTCTTTCACTTTCACCAAGAGACTGGGAGAAATGTACCTCCAGCTGCTGCTGGTGCTGCGGCAGGAGAATCACGAGTCGTTACAGGCACTGACCCATCCCTATCCTTTTCTCTCTTGTCGCTCTCACCACTCTCTCTAATTTCAATCTCACAGGTATGTACTGGGGGCAGTGTATCTGCAGCTACTGCTGGTGCTTCGGCTGGAGAACCATGAGCCGCTACAGTCCTTGAATTATCCCCTCCTTCTCTCGTTTTTCACACTCCCAATCGCTATCTTCCAGCTATGTACTGGGGGCAGTGTACCTGCAGCTGCTGCTGGTGCTTCGGCTGGAGAATCACGAGCCACTACAAGCACCGCTGGACCCTTCCCTCTTCATCCACCGATTTGCCGACCGTGAGTGTGCTCTGTTATGGCGACAATACCTGCACCACTAACCATGCACCATCAGATGGCTTGTACATGTCAGCACTCTCAAGCAATTACCAGGTGTTCTGCACTTCACGCTAACCCTGCCATCCTTCTGATAGTGTTATCGCAAAATCTTACAGGGGTGTACTGCAGCCAGCAGTCAATGTATTCTTATTGATGCAACTGATCGTTTTTAACATGGTGTCACAGAAGTCTGGGGTTCGATTCCCACTGTGGGCTAATTTGTTTCCAACAGCTTTGACTGTCTTCCAGTTTGGGAGTGCATTACTATGGTCCACAGTGCAATCCAAGTGTTTTTCTTCTTGTTATGCATTCAACATTTGCAATTTGTTGTATTGTGCGGTGTGGCATGACATGGAGATGGCATGGGCATGGGCATGGGCATGGGCATGGGCATGCGCATGGGCATGGCATGTGCATGGGATGCGCACGGGCATGGGCATTCCTTTGTATGGGCATTTTCATGGTGCGGCATGGCATGGTGCGGCATGTGCATACCAGGTCTCAACTTTGGGCGCAAGATGCATGCAGTGGCCAACACAGCTCTGCGCCTCGTTGCCTCCATGAAGCGCGACTGGATCCAGGTGAGGGGGGGGGGGGGGGGGGGGAGGGGAGGGGAGGGGAGGGGAGGGGAGGGGAGGGGAGGGGAGGGGAGGGGGGGGGGAGGGGGGGGGGGAGGGGAGGGGGGGGGGATGGAGGGGAGGGGAATGGAGTGGAGGGGGGTGGAGGGGAGGGGGGGAGGGGAGGGGGGGAGGGAGGGGAATGGAGTGGGGGGGGGAGGGGAGGGGAGGGGAGGGTAGGGGAGGGGAGGGGATATCCTCCCTCTGTTCCCCCCATCACCCTCTCGCTCGCCTTCTCATATCCGCTTATCACTGTACAGTGGCTCTGTTTCCCCACCTCGTTTCCCCAACATCTGTACTCTACTTCCATCCCTCCCCATCACCCATCCCCTCCCTTCAGACCAGTCGCAAGCCGAACGACATGTGTGGAGCAGCGCTGCTGATAGCGGCGCACGGTCCACCCCCCCATCTCCCCCCAGTTATTTTATTCTCCCCCCATCTCTCGTCTTCCATCCCCTCCCTCCAGACCGGTCGCAAGCCCAATGGTGTGTGTGGAGCAGCGCTGCTGATAGCAGCACACATTCACGGCTTTGAGCGGTCCAAGTCAGATGTGGTGGGTGGGTGGGGGTAGGTGGGGGTGGGTGGATCATTGGTGGGTGGATGGTGGGTGGGATTCGGTCAGGTACACTGAGCTGTTTGCGGCTAGAATCTATTAAAGTCTTCAGAGCACCTTGGGTGCAGGGGTGCTATCCGCTCCCTACCTGTTGGCTTGTGTCGTTTCGATGGGCCTTCTGCTGCCTGCAAGTGTCTGTGCTGTGCTGCTGCAGACAGTTAGTCTTTTGAGACGTCTCGGAAGTGCTATGCTACTGCAGACAGTTTTTGGGATGCCTTAAGAGTCTGTAGACCCTTAGTCTCTGTGCTTGGTAATGACTGGTGTGACTGTGCATACACGGTGTGACTGTATACATACGGTGTATTTGCCTGTGAAGGTGGCAGTGGTGCATGCGTGTGAGTGAGCAGACCTTGCATGCTGTATCGCCTGACTCGACCAAACTCAACCGCACCCAACTCAACCCGACCGGACCCGACCCGACCTGACTCGACCCGACTTGAACCGACCCGAACCAACCCAACCCGTCCCGACCCGAACAGGACTGACCCGACCCGACCCAACCCGACCCAACCCAACCGGACCTGACCCAACCCGACCCTACCTGGCCCGACCAGACCCGACCTGCCCCGATCTGACCTGCACGAGTGGGAAGGCGCAGAGGCAGACTGGCAGGCCTCCCTCCCATTGACGACCCGTCCTCCCATCTCTCAACCCGCCTATCCCACGTGCAGGTGGCAGTGGTGCACGTGTGTGAGCAGACAGTGCGTCACCGCCTGCATGAATTCGAGGGCACAGAGGCAGGCGGACTCACTGTAAGTGCCTCCTCATCTCTTCTCTTCCCGCCCCTCCCACTGCTACTTCTGCCTGTCCCCGCCCCTCTTTCTATGAATACTGCCATATTTTGTTTGCATGATTTGAAGGCGCAGAGGCAGGCGGTCTCGCTGTAAGCCCCTCCCCTGCACAGGCTGCACTTCCCCTGGCTCTTTCATTGTCAGTGAAACTTATCTTGTTCCGTGTTTCCTCATTTGAGGCGCCTCAAAAACTTATCTTGTTCCGTGTTTCCTCAAGCACTGTGCTTTTGGAGTTCTCGCTGTTCTGCAAATGTTCAGGACTGTTGTGTTCCTAAGTCCACCCAGCCCTCCCTCTGTGTTTCCTCGATTTCACTCCTCCCTTCTTGTCACCTCCTTCCTACCATCATGCACCATGTCACTTGCTGCCTCCTTTCCCCAAAATCAACCCCGACCACACTTCTTCTATCAGCCTGAGGAGTTCGAAGAGAAGGCCAAGGAGTGGGACGAGCGTCTCTTCTCCTCCCAGCCCCCCACCCCTATGCGCCATGCCATTGCTCTCTCTTTCTTCCCCCCTCCAAACCCCTCCAAACCCCTCCAAACCCCAACAAACCCCAACAAACCCCAACAAACCCCAACAAACCCCAACAAACCCCAACAAACCCCCTTGCCTTGCTTTACCCAGCCTGAGGAGTTTGAAGAGAAGGCCAAGGAGTGGGACGAGCTTCTCCTCTCCACCCAGCCATCCACACCACGCCATCCCATTGCTTTCCCTTCCTTCCCTTATCCTTCCCCCACCAGCCTGAGGAGTTTGAAGAGAAGGCCAAGGAGTGGGACGAGCTGCTCTCCTCTTCCACCCAGCCACATGCACCGTGCCAATTTCTACCTCCTCTCCCCCACTCCCGTCCGTACCCCCTGCCTCCCTTTCCCCAGCCTGAGGAATTCGAAGAGAAGGCCAAGGAGTGGGACGAGCTTCTCTTCACCACCCAGCCGCCCACCCCTGCTCTCGTTGCTCCTGCCTCTGCCCTCGCCCCTGCCGCTGCGGCCCTTGCTGCAAAGCGCAAACAGGGGAAGGGGGCAGCAGCAGGGGGAGGGGCGAGGGGAGGCGCAGGGGGGTATGGGGAACCGGGTGATGGGGACGATGCGGAGGGGGAAGCGGGGGAGGGGGGAGCGGGGGAGGTGGAGCAGGGGGAAGGAGAGGGGGGTGTGGTGGCGGCTGGGGGCGGGGGCGTGGGTGGGGGGGAAGTGGGGGAGGTGTATTTGACGCAGTGCCAGCATAAGGAGGCTGGAGCGGCTCATTTTGCACATGGGCTGTGCAGGCCATGCTATGACATGGTATGGCGCGGTGTAGTGCGGTACCAGTACACTATGGCGTAGTATGGTATGGTTTGATATGGTGTACAGTTCCTGATGACATAGTGCCCATCATAAGGAGGCTGGGGCGGCTCATTTCGTCCATGGGCTGTGCAGGCCGTGCTGTGACATGGTATGTGCTGTGTCATGACTGGTGTGCGGTGCGGTAGTAGTGTAATTGATGATGGGTCTGCATATGGAGGCTGGGGCTGGGGCGTCTCATTTTGCTCATTGGCTGTGCAGGCCGTGCTATGACATGGTACGTGCTGTGACATGGTACGTGCTGTGACATGGTACGTGCTATGACATGGTACGTGCTATGACATGGTACGTGCTATGACATGATACGTGCTGTGACATGGTACGTGCTGTGACATGGTACGTGCTAGGACATGGTACGTGCTATGACATGGTACGTGCTATGACATGGTACGTGCTATGACATGGTACGTGCTATGACATGGTACGTGCTATGACATGGTACGTGCTATGACATGGTACGTGCTATGACATGGTACGTGCTGTGCTATGAATGTGCTGTGCTAAGAATTGAAACGGTGCAGTATGGTGTGGTGTGGTAGTGGTATAGTTGACGCCGCGTCGGCATGATACAGTGTGTGGTCTGGTGTGGTGTGTGTGCTTATGATGTGGTATGGTATGGTATGGTATGGTGTGGTATGGTGTGGTGTGGTGTGGTGTGGTGTGGTGTGGTGTGGTGTGGTGTGGTGTGGTGTGGTGTGGTGTGGTGTGGTGTGGTGTGGTGTGGTGTGGTGTGGTGTGGTGTGGTGTGGTGTGGTGTGGTGTGGTATGGTATGGTATGGTATGGTATGGTATGGTATGGTATGGTATTGTATGGTATGATATGGTGTGCATGGACCATGGTATGCCACAGTGTACATTATTGAAGGAAATGTCGTTGGGAAATGTCATTATGCCATGTACCAACCAACCAACCACTCATCATGCCATCACATCCCGTCCTCCCATCTCGCTCCTTCACTTTCCCCCAGCTTCTGCGGGGACTTCAATTGTTATGGGCCTTACAATTGCACCTAACCCCTTTCGCCCCTCCCCTCACCTGTCCCCTTCCCGCCCTCCTCTCCTCCCTATCCCCTTCCTCCTGTCCCTACTACTCTACCTCTGTTTCCTCAGCTAGCGATTTTTTATGCGCCTCATAAACCTTCCTCCCTATCCCCTACCTCCTGTCTCTACAACTCAACCTCCGTTTTCCCCAGCTAGCGCGGACGAGTGGGGATCTGGTTGGGGGGGCTAACCCCCCTGCATGGGGGCGGAGGGGGAGGGAGAAGCGGAAAGCAGAGCTGAGGAGGAGGAGGAGCCGCCTCACTGTGTACAGCATGTTTGGGCTGGAGGAGCGGGAGGCGGGGGAGGGGGAGGGGGAGGCGGAGGGGCCAAGGCAGAGCAAAGGATGACAATCATTACAAGCGTATCCCCTGCTTCTTCCTCCCTATCATACCCCCCTTCCCCCCCTCTTCCCCCCTCTATTTCCCCCAGCTTGCGCGCACAAGTGGGGGGCTGGTGGGGGGGGCCAACCCCCCTGCATGGGGGCGGGGGGAGAGGGAGAAGCGGAAAGCAGAGCTGCGGAGGAGGAGGAGTCGACTCACTGTGTATAGCGTGTTTGGGCAGGAGGAGCGGGAGGCGGGGGAGGGGGAGGGGGAAGAGGAGGCGTGGGGAGTTGGAAGGGAAGTTATGGCTGTTGGGCAGAAGGGGAAGGGTGGAGGTGCGGCGGTGGCGGCAGGGAAAGGGGTGGTTGCGGCGAAAGGAGGAGGGAAGGGAGGGAAGGCTGGGAAGGATGGGGTGTCGAAACGGGAGAGAGCGAGGCAGAGGATTGAAAAGGTGGGCGCATTTCTTCACTCCAGAAGTCCGTTGCCTTTTGAGTCAACTCAAAAGTCAACTCGCATTTCTTCACTCCAGAAGTCCGTTGCCTTTTGAGTCAACTCAAAAGTCAACTCGTATTTCTTCACTCCAGAAGTCCGTTGCCTTTTGAGTCAACTCAAAAGTCAACTCGCATTTCTTCACTCCAGAAGTCCGTTGCCTTTTGAGTCAACTCAAAAGTCAACTCGTATTTCTTCACTCCAGAAGTTCGTTGCCTTTTGAGTCAACTCAAAAGTCAACTCGCATTTCTTCACTCCAGAAGTCCGTTGCCTTTTGAGTCAACTCAAAAGTCAACTCGCATTTCTTCACTCCAGAAGTCCGTTGCCTTTTGAGTCAACTCAAAAGTCAACTCGCATTTCTTCACTCCAGAAGTCCGTTGCCTTTTGAGTCAACTCAAAAGTCAACTCGCATTTCTTCACTCCAGAAGTCCGTTGCCTTTTGAGTCAACTCAAAAGTCAACTCGCATTTCTTCACTCCAGAAGTCCGTTGCCTTTTGAGTCAACTCAAAAGTCAACTCGCATTTCTTCACTCCAGAAGTCCGTTGACTTTTGAGTCGACTCAAAAGTCAACTCGCATTTCATCACTCCAGAGTTCCCTGAATGTAGCTAGCTACTTGTTGCAGGATCGCCACGTGATAAAAGTAGTGTTTTGAGACGTCTCAACATTCATCACTCCAGAGTTCCCTCAATGTAGCTACTTGTTTCAGGACCTATGCATGATATTTCTTTCTACGTGTTTAATGAATGTTCCTGCGGTCAAGTGGAGAGCTAATCTCATCGTACCACGCTCCATTCCTTTTCATCCCTCTCCACCCCTCCACAACCCTCTCCATCCCACTTCACCGACAGGATCTAGATGCAGCTTTGCACCGAGCTGAAATTGCTCCCCTCGTGGTTCACACTCTTCCAGACTCCCTGGGACCTGCCGAACCAGATACCCTAGGCTCGGCCAGGCGTGACGGTCTAGGTTCGGCAGGCATAGATCCGAGCCTGGTGGATGACCCCGATCCAGATTTCTTGGCTGGGGAAGAGGGTGGGATGGGCGGCGGAGGGAGGTTTGGGGGAAGCGTTGGAGAGATTGGGGAGGAGGAGCAGGAGGGTGTGGAGGATGAAGAGGACGATGAGGAGGAAGAGGAAGAGGAGGAGGATACTTTGTCGGATATAGAGGATCACGAGGTAACGTCTCTGGTCATTAAAGGTGTGTTTTGAGTCGACTCAAAACTCAGTCGAGGAAGATACTTCGTCAGATATTGAGCATCATGAGGTAAAAGCTACGTCTGATTAGTCAGTTCAGCAAAAGCCGGTAAGCTTTCATGCAAAGCAGATACTCATGCAAAGCAGATACTCATGCGTGAACAGCTATCCTATCGTTTGGGCATGCAAGCAGATACTCATGCGTGAACAGCCATCCTATCGTTTGGGTTCTGACTCCCTCGCTTGCCCGCCCTTCCTCTCCCTTCCTCCATCCCCTTATGGGTTATGTGCGACCGGGCTCATGTCATGAGACGATTTTTTAGTCGCCTTATAAATCGTCTCACCCTTTCTCCATGGTCTCTCATGGGTTATGTGCTGCCAGCTCATGTCTCCACCTCGCGCTGCTGCCGCTGTCCCCTCGTCCCTTGCCGTTTGGCGGAAAGTAAGAGTACGTGGTGGACTTTCTGATACACAGCCGTTTCTCCTCCTCCTATGTTCCCCATTACCCCTACCTCCGCACTGCAGGTGGGAGAGGAGGAGCTGAAGCTGGAAACCCTACTATCGACAGAAATGAATGAGCACCTGGAGGGGGTTCTCCCAGCCATCCATTTTCCACTGCTGGTGCCCCTGTCTCCCCTCCTCATGTGCCGCTGTGTTCCTCCCCACTTCAGGTGGACGGCTTCCTGTTGGCCGAGGAGGAATTAAAGCTGAAGACCCTCATATGGACGGAGATGAAACAAAGGAGTATCGGGAGGAGCTGCAGCAGAAGCTACTTGCTTCACAGCCCTCCCAACCTTGCTGTCCTATCCCACGTGTACCTTTAAGGGGAAGAAGAAGTAAAGCTGAAAACCCTCATATGGACGGAGATGAGCAAGGAGTATCTGGAGGCGCTGCAGCAGAAGAGATGTACCTCACCCCCTTCTCCCTCTCCCTTCTGGACTGCAGGTGGATTGGTACCTATTGGGGGAGGAAGAAGTGAAGCTGAAGACCCTGATATGGACGGAGATGAACCAAGGAGTATTTAGAAGAGTTGGAGCAGAAGCTAAGCAACTAGCCCCATTTCCACTCCCCACTACAGGTAGAAGGGAACCTGCTAGCTAGGGGAAGAGGAACTAGGTGACTTTTGAGTCGACTCAAAGGTAGAAGGGTAGAAGGGAAGAAGGGTGCAGGTAGAAGGGAACCTGCTAGGGGAAGAGGAAGTGAAGCTGAAAACTCTCATATGGACTGAGATGAAACAAAGGAGTATCTGGAGGCGCTGCAGCAGAAATGGTTCATCTGACCCTCCTCTGCCTTCCCCTCGCCACTGCAAGTAGACGGGTACCTGTTGGGGGAAGAGGAAGTGAAGCTGAAAGCGTTGATATGAACGGAGATGAACAAGGAGTATCTGGAGGAGTGGGAGCAGAAGAGACTTGCTTCACAACCCTCCCCCCTCTGCCTTTCCCTCCCCGTTACAGGTCGACGGTAACCTACTAGGCGAGGAGGAAGTGAAGCTGAAGACGCTCATGTGGACGGAGATGAACAAGGAGTATCTGGAGGCGCTGCAGCAGAAGAGGTTCACCCCATCCCCCTCTCCTTCCCAACTGCAGGTCGACGGATACTTGCTTGGAGAGGAGGAAGTGAAGCTAAAGACCTTGATATGGACGGAGATGAACAAGGAGTATCTGGAGGAGTTGGAGCAGAAGCAGGCGGCGCAGCGGGCGGCAGAGGACCAGGTGGCAGCAGCGGCGGCGGCAGCGGCAGCAGCAGCGAGCAAATGTGGTGCCGGGACGTCGGCTCGTGCTGCTGCCGCTGCTGCAGCTGCTGCTGCTGTGCTGCAAAAGGTATGTCCTGGTGTGCTTTTTTGTGGTATGGCAGTGCATCAATAGTGCCGCAGTATTCGAACTGGTGGAAGGGCGTCCTTTGTAAAAGCATAGGATCAGATGACTGGCCTTTTGAGAATTCTCAAAAGTGACTCCCAAATGGTGGAAGGGCGTCCTTTTGAGAGCTTGGGATCAGATGATTTGCCAAAGGGCACATTGCAGCGCAACGAGTTGACTTTAGAGTCGACTCAAAAGTCAACTTGGGATCAGATTTTTGGCCGAAGGGCACATTGCAACGTAATGGGCGGCAGAGGACCAGGTGGCTGCGGCAGTTGCAGCAGCAGCCAGTAAATGTGGTTCCGGAACTTCGGGCCGCTTCTGCTGCTGCTGCTGCTGCCGCCGCAGCTGCTGCTGCAGTGCTGCTAAAGGTGTGTCTCAGTGTGTTAACGTGGCGTTGCAATTCCATAGTGCTTCAAACGGTGTGTCTGGGATATGTTTGTTTTTTAGCTGACTCAAAAACAGGCTCATCACGGGTGTGTCTAGGAAATTTTTGAAATTCCATGTCGTATGTATGCTGATTAACATACGTTCGTATTTGTGCGAATCTCAATGTCATGTGTATTCTGATCTAAAGTGTTTCGTTTCCATGCAAAAGCATCTGGTCACCGTTTTGTCATTAACACCAATTGCAGGGCGGGCTTGACCGCAAGCGCAGGCGCAAAGACGAGGCAGCACTGGGTCCGGCCCAGTCAGCAGCAGAAGCTGCCAAGAGGGTTCTCGACAAGAAGGTGCGGCTTTCTTCTGCTGGTACACTGTGTCCCCTGGCGCCCATACTACCCCTCCTCCCTCTCCTCCTCCTCCTCCTCCTCCTCCTCCTCCTCCTCCTCCTCCTCCTCCTCCTCCTCCTCCTCCTCCTCCTTTCCAATTGTGCTGCTTTTGCAGCTGTCTATCTACACATCCCCCCCCATCAATCCCTTCTTCCTTCCCACTCCCTCCCACCGCACAGAGTTCAGCACACGTCAACATGGAAGCACTCGGACAGTTATTCTCCGATGGTGGTGCCACTGCAACTGCTGCTGCTGCTGCTGCTGCTGCTGGGGCTGGAGCCGGGGCTGATGCTGCAGCTGGGCAAGGCCGCCCCAAGAAACAGCAGCACGTGCATTGGGCTGACCAGGCCGCTGCTGGTGGTGGTGGTGGTGGTGTTGGTGGTGATGCTTTTGTTGGTAATGCTGCTGCTGCTGCTGAAGAAATGACAGCAGGGGAAGAGGAAGGGCTGCTAGCAGGGGGGTATGGTGGAGCAGAAGCAGGTTTGGCAGGGGACAAGGCGTGGGGAGGGGATGGTGCGCTGGGAGGTTATGGTGATGAGTCAGCTGCGTATGGTGCTGACTCAGCAGTGCACGGTGGTGAGTCAGCAGGGCATGGGGAAGGAGACATGGGAGTGGGGCATGATAATTCCGAGCACATGGGACTGGATGGGGAGGAGGGTAATATGGGTGATGCTGCAGGTTCGCATGGGGGTGAAGAAGGGGAAGCCGATGTTGGTGATGGGGATGCAGCTGATCGGGATGCAGCTGATGGGGATGCAGCAGAGGGGCATGCAGCTGATGGGGATGAAACGGAGTACCATGATGTGAACGGGGTGCAGTACCATGTAGAAGCAGGTGAGGAGCATTACAATGAGGATGGGGCGGGAGAGGCAGTGTGGGGAGGTGAGGGAGCGGATCAGCTGTACGGTGCAGATGGCATTGATCCCGATGACCAATACATGTTTTACTGAGCAAAAGTTGTTTTTGTAAGAAAGCTTGCAGCTTATCTTCATTGTACTACTAACTAGTTATGTTGATTGATGTAACTGATGTGCTGGTGCGTGGGTGGACATACCGTAGTGAAGCTTTATCGGTTATTGAATTTGCTTCTATACGGCTTTGAGTCCATTCACTTCGGAAATGTTGCCAGCTAGTGCCATCTCGTCCAATCGAAGTCGAGCGCATGTTTCAGATAGGCAGGGAGGCGCTCGTCTGTGTCCGCTTTGTCACCGCTATTCAGCGTCCCGTTTCACGAGTAGTTGCCAAAAAATTCGTAAAGCAATAAGGATTCACTCACTATTGATTTGTTTCATGAAACTTCCTCACTAGCTCAAGGGCAAAACGCATGGAAGTAGTTATAGTACATATCAAACCAGAGTCAAAGAGAGTACAGAAATTATTATAAAAGCCCCCCATTCACAAGATTGTTTCCACAACCAATGCCTTACATAATGAGGTAGGCAGCATACCTACACCCATTTGTGTAATTACTCAAGATGTAACGGCAACAATGCGTGTATGATAGGTGCGCATAAGCTTCAATGCTGCTGAAGCAAATAGCGTACCTGTATAGAAGCCTTGGGGGCATGTCACCGTCTCGAGAGTATGAATGTATACTGTAGTATGTTGACCACTTTTGTGGTCACATGACTGGAGTGTAGAACCCGTTTCACTGTAGCTGAAACTTCAAGGTCCCACTTGAGTGTAGTGTAGTGGAAACTCTCTTGAAAGAATGCCAACTCGCAGTGGCCAGTCATCCTCGTATAGTCCGCCTGTGAAGCTTCGAGTCCATTTTGAATCCCGCGCTTGCAGGGCATCGGCCAAGCTCCTCCACACCTTCGCCCATTTACCCGTGCCAGCCAATCAGCTGCTGCCACCTCTACCAGAGCCACGTCATCACCACAGCTGCCGTGCGTCATTGTTGGAGGCATCTCAACACACCTCACCCGCCGGCGTTGCTGCCACCGACTCTGCTTCTTTCCCCATCTACCCACACCCCCCACATGCAGCCTCTCCCCTCCTCCCCACACTCACAAGTCTGCCTCCCCAACCTACACTCGGCCTCCCCACACAAGCCCTACCCACACACACCCTGTGAAGAGAAACACCCTCCCCACACTCTGTCTCCCACGTGTATGAAGATTTGTTTTGAGACATCTCAAAACAAATCCTCTGTCTCCCACGCTGCTCCTCTCCCACTCATCCCCCATGCAACCCCCACTCATTCCCCCACTCCCCCCATCTCCCTGACAGCTGGCCTCCAGGCTGCCTCGAAGCCTCAGTTTAGGCTGAACCAGTATAAGCACAGTTGTATATGAGCACAGTTTCTGTTCCCGCCCATTTCCCCCCATACCTGTCCTCCACCCTTCCCCACACCTCGTTCCCCACCTTCCCCCACACCTCCCCCTCTACCTCCGCCCCTCCCCCTCTACCTCCGCCCCTCCCCCCTCACTTGTTCCCCCTGATGTCCGGTCTGCAGCAGCTAACGGCGGGTTGTAGCAAGACTAAGGAGCATTGAACGGCACGAATCCCATGGGGGCCAGTAAGGCTGTAGCACCGGCAGCTGTAGCACTAGTGGCCGTTGCACTGGCAGCTGTAGCACCGGAAACTGTAGCGCCAGCAGCTGTAGCGCCAGCAGCTGTAGCACCAGCAGACCCCAAGGCTGTAGCAGCGGGGACGGCTGTATCCGTGTGCATGGATGGAGCAGACGAGCAGGCAGCCACGTCAGCACGAGACATAGTGGCGGCTGTAGCAGCAGCACTAGCAGCGGCTGTAGCAGTGGTGACTGTAGCAGGTGGTGGATGGTATGGGTAAACTGGGCTGGGAAGGAGAGATGGGAATGGGGAAACGCACAGAGATCCAGGATACTGCTGCAGGTGCATTGCAGGGTGCATTGCAGGGTGCATTTTAGGGTGATTTCCAGGGTGCGTTCCAGGGTGCATTCCGGGGTGCGTTCCAGGATGCATTCCGGGGTGCGTTCCAGGGTGCATTCCGGGGTGCGTTCCAGGGTGTGTTCCAGGGTGCGCAAACGGGGGCATGAGAGAATGCGCGAAGAAAACTCCTGGAAACTGCGACAAAGAGGGTCCCATCTGGGCTGGAAAAGCTTCAACTTGCAGCGGATTCGCAGCAGCACCAGCACCAGCAGCAGAAGCAGCAGCAGCTGTAGCAGCAGCTGTAGCTGTAGCAGCAAGTGCTGCTGCCTGTGAAGCTGTTACAGCTGTAGCTTGGGGAGACGAGCGGCAAGGAGGAGCGTTTTCAGCCCGTGCTAGTTCTGCATGAGCGGTGGAGAGGGAGGAGGAGGCCGTGGTGGTTTTGGAGTCTTGAGCAGTGCGCGAGGTGCGCACAGGGGGAACCTGCTGCTGTATATGTTGCTGCTGCTGGCTCAAATGTTGCTGCTGCTGACTCAACTGTTGCTGCTGCTGACTCAACTGTTGCTGCTGCTGCTGACTCAACTGTTGCTGCTGCTGCTGACTCAATTGTTGCTGCTGCTGCTGACTCTGTTGCTCTTGCATTTGCTGTTGCTCTTGCTGTTGCTGTTGCTGTTGCTGCTCCAGGCTCTGCTTCCTGGCGCTTCTGTTCTGCTTCTGCCTGGCCTGCTTCTGACCAGCCGTTTTCTCCTTTCGAGCCCGCTCACGGCCCTCCTGCTGCTCCTCACACCAAACCCGGTGGGCCTCCCTTGCTTGCTGCTGGTGCCGCTGGAACTGCCATACATCCTCCCTGCTCTGCTGCTGCTGCATGAGCTGCTGCTGCTGTTGCTGTTGCTGCTGCTGCTGTTGCTGTTGCTGCTGTTGCTGTTGCTGCGGCAGATGCTCCTGTTGCTGCCGTTGTTGTTGTTCCTGCAGCATCATCAGCTGCTGCTGCATTTTCTGTTGCTGTTGCTGCAGCAGCAAACGTTGCCCCTGCTGCAATCGCTGCAGCTGCTGCTGCTCCTGCTGCTGCTGCTGCTGCTGTTGCTCCTGCTGCTGCGCCAACCAGGCGCCACCACTTACCTCTGCACGCACATTAGGGTCCTGTGGCGCAAGCGCGTATGCCCTTGACCCGCTGGCAGCGGAAACTGCATGATTACCGGCAGCTGCATTATTAGCGACAGCAGCAGCAGAAGCAGCGGCAGCAGCAGCAGCAGCAGCAGCAGCACAAGCACCATCCCCTCTCCCCGCTCTCCCCATCCTCCCTACACAAGCAGCAACCCTGCCCCTCTTCACAGCGCCGCGTCTAGCAGAGGCAGCCGCCACAGAAGAACCACCAGCACCTGCACTCTGCTCCGATACGCCTGCCATTGCCCCTACCTGCAATCCCCCTGCCCCTGCCCCTCCTCCCCCTCCCCCTCCCCCTGCACTTCCAGCAGCAGCAGCCACAGCAGCAGCGGAAGCGGCAGCAGCAGCGGTGGCGGGAGCAGTGGGGGAAGGAATGGGGGCGGAGGCGGCGGAGAGGAGTTGGCAGAGGGGGCGGGAGCGCATGTGGTTGACGAGGTTGCACTTGAAAGCAAACTGCATGCCGCAGCGACACACCAGCATCTGCCCACACATCTTCCCGTGGTCCCTCAAATCCGCCTGCGGAGGTTGTTGCAGGGGGAAGGGTGGGAAGGTGAAAGAGGGTGAGAAAAAGGGCGAGAGGGAAGAAAGAGAGGGAACAGGGAAGACAGTGGAGGGCACTGAAGAATGGCACAGCAGCACAGCAGCAGAGGGTTGAGAGGCGTGAGAGGAGTGAGACAGGTGAGATGTCTTCTCTCTGCAAGAGGCCTTTACCTCGACAAAGAATCGCTTGCTGCACTTGTTTTGAGGCGCCTCAAAACTAGACTTCTCTCTGCAAGAGGCCTTTACCTCAACAAAGAATCGCTTGCTGCACTTGCCACACGCGTACGACGTCTTCACGTGTGCGTGTGTGCGTGTGGAGGGAGGGACGAGGGGAACGAGGGAGAGAGAGGGTCTCACCTCAACAAAGAATCGTTTGCTGCACTTGACACGTGCATACACCGTGTGTGTGCGTGTGGAGGGAGGGACGAGGGCTAAGAGGGAGAGAGCAGGCCTTACCTCAACGAAAAACCGTTTGTTGCACTTGCCGCACGCAAACGGCTTCTCCCCCTGCTGGTGCTTCCTTCCAAAGTGCCGCCTCAGCTCATACAGCCCCACAAACGTCTTCCCGCACTCCGGGCAGCGCGAAGGAATCTTTTTATTCTGCCCGGCCTTGCTGCCCCCGTGCCGCGGCCCCAGAGCATCCTCACACGCTGCCTGGAACACCGAGTCGGGAAGATCGTGCGTTCTCAGATGCATCTTCAAGGTCTGCCAGTTCTTGAAAGTTTTCCCGCAGTCGCTGACGTGGCAGAGGAACGGGCGGCGGTTGTGGATAAGATCGAGGGAGACAATCTCTGCTTGCCTGGCGGTAGGGGTGTGCGCGGACTTGGCATTAGCAGTGCTGATATCTGCTTGTCTGGCAGTAACGGTATGCGCTGCTGGTTTGCTATCAGCAGCGGCACTGGAAATATGCGCTCCTTTGCCATTCGCAATGGTGGTAGGGATACATGCTGGAACGCCATTGGCAGTGCCCAGATCTGCTGCTTCCGAAGTCACTCTAGGGCCTGTTCCTTGTACCACAGCCACTCTAGAGTGAGACCCTGCTGCTGCTGGAAGGAAAGATGATGCGCCTGACATGCCTAAGTCATTTAACGCGCCTGACACGCCAGCGTCTGCGACTCGTGCTGGGGGAAACTGGGCACTTGCAGTGATCTCAGATGGCACACCCGTAGGTGCAGCCTCAGCAACAGCACTAGCGCCAACACCAGAAGCAGCAGCAGCAGCAGCAGCACCACCACCACCACCAGAAGCAGCAATACCAGCGTCAGCGTCCATGACAGCAGCAGCAGTGCGAACAGTTCTAGCAGCGCCAACACTAGCACCACCACCTGAAACCCCGGCGCATGAATTGCCAGCAACCAAGGGCCCATTCTGAGGCGCCAAAGCAGCTCCTGCAGGTCGGTCCGCTGCATTTGAATCCACTCCCTCAGCATCCTGTACAGCAGCATCTGCTGCTGCACCTGCTGCAGCATCTGCCGTACCGACCAGTGCAACCCGTCCAGACGCATCAGCAGCATCAGCAACCACTGCTGCTGCAGCATTAACAGCAGCACCCACATTGGCAGCTGCAGCAGCAGCAGTCACAGCAGCACCCACGCCAGAAACTGCAACAAGGCGCACACTAGATTCGCCGGCAACGTCCATCGCAGCAGTAGCAGCAGCTGTAGCACCAGCTGTAGCAGCAGTCGTGCTGGTTGAAGCAGCCGTCAAAGTGCCTTCTGCAGCAGCAGCAATCGCAACAACCGCAAGCACAGCAGTGGCATCAGATGCACCAGGTGCTGCGGTTGCAGCTTCAGTGGGGGCAGTGGCAGCAGCGTCAGGGGCAGTGTGCAGAGTCGAATCAAGAGCAACAGCATCTGCGCCAGGTGGGCCCAGTGGGGGAGCAGGTTCAGTAGGGCTCGTGGAAGCAACCTCAGGGACAGTGTGCCTTTCAGTCGACTCGGGAGGAGCAGCATTTGCACCAAGTGGTGTTGCTGCAACCTCCGCAGGTACTGCGGGGACAGCCAGAGGAAAGGCTGCAACGGCAGCTGGTGCAGCAACAGCGGTCAATTCTTGAGGCTCTTCGGGGAGCACAGCAGAGATCTCAGCTGGGCGGTCAGTGGTAGCAGCGTCAGAGGAAGAACGGCAAGAAGGTATGGACGCATCAGCATCCGCTGCCGCTGCTGCTGCTGGTGTGACTGCTGCTGCCGCTGTGACTGCTGCTGTAGCTACAGCTGCAGCTGCATGCATGCCTGCTACAGCTGCATCTGCTACAACCGCCTCTGTCACAGCCCCATCCGTTACAGGTGCACCTGCTACGACCCCGTCTGCTATAATCCCATCTGCTACCATCGAATTCACTACAACCCCATCAGTCACCACCACCTCCGCCACAGCCCCTTCATCCGCTACAGTCGCATCCGCTACAACCGAGTCTGCTACAGCCGAATCTGCTACAACAGTATCAATTTCTGGAATATCTAGCACCTGCTCAGCCGTTTTCCCAGATGGTGGCTGCACGGGCGGCAACGCAGACGGCAGCACAGGCGGCAGAGTGGGCGCCAGAGGCAGGTCCAAGGGAGGCAGGTCGACAGCAGCAACGTCAGTGAGAGGTGACGGCACCGGCAGAGTCGAAGACTCTTGCAGAGAGGGAGGGTCAAGCAGGGTAGGGGGATCTAGCAAAGTGGGAGGATCAATGAGGGTGGCATCGGGCAGAGGTGGAGGCAAAAGGGGAAGGTCCTGTGTGATAGGCGGCTCAGGGATGGAAACAGGCTCAGGGGGGTCAGGTAGAATAAGAGAGTCTAGCAGAGTGGCGGCGTGAGGGGGCGGGGAGGGGTGGGGAAAGGTGACAGGGGCTGAGAGAACGGGCGTCTCAGAGGCACCAGCAGCAGCAGCAGCAGACTCAACCGCGTCAACAGCGGCAGAAGCGCCAACAGCAGCGACAGCAGCAGCACCACCACCACCACCAGCACCAGCACCGTCAGCAACGGCCGCATCACTCTCCCTTCTCGCTCGCTTCTGGCAAGAAACCGACGCCCAACCAGCCGCACTCCCCTCCTCCAATCCTCGCTTCATACCCTCTCTGTTCTCTGGCCTGTTGGGACAAATGGTACTGTCTGGAATGCTGCTGGGCGGCAAGTCTTTGGGCGCCAAGGTGTCCCCTGAATGGCTGTTGGGCGGCACACTGCTGGGCGGCAGTGTGACGGGCTGGGGAAGGGAGCCCGCGGAAGCAGCAGAGCGGAGGGCGGACGAGCCGTCCGCCGCTACTGGCGTGGGGAAGGGTGGGGGGAGGGCAGGCGCGGAAGCCAGAAGCGCAGGCGCGGACAGGCACGCGGGGTGGAGAGGTGGGGCGGAAGCGAATTGCGCGGAGGGAGTTGATGGCGCGGATGCAGGCGCAAGCGGGCATGCGGGGGTGAATGGGATAGCGCGCGAAGGATGGGCGGAAGGTGTTGAGGGCGGAGACCCCAGCGGAGGCGCTGGGGACGAGCGGGAAGGCGCGCGGGCGCAGGGCCCTCGCGGGGAGGCGGAAGCGGCGGAGCGATAAAGCGGGGGCAAACGGGGGAGAGCAGCAGTGGGGGACGAAGCAGGGGAGGCAGTGGGCGGGGAACGTTCCGCGAAGCCGGGATCCGGAGGCACTGATGTTTCTGGGACGAGGGGGAGGGACGGCAGAGACGCGGAGAGGCGCATCTGTGGAGGGGGACGACTTGGGGATAGAGGTGGGGGTGATGAAGCCCATCCTAACCCAACCCCTGTTGCTGCCACCCCTGCTGCTGCTATTGTTGCTTCTCCTGCCGCTGCTGCTGCCCCTGCCGTTGCTGTTGCTGCTGCTGTTGGCCGAACTGACGATACCGAGGCTGATCTTATCGCGGATGCCTGAACCGCTGAAACAGAATGGCCGCTTCTTACCCCGCCGTCAGTCACGCTGGGATCAGTGGCCGGAGGGCCTAATACGGCTACAGACGGTGTCGCAGACACAGCAGACGACACAACGACGGGGGTGTGCGACTCAAAAGACGCGCCATGCGACGCGCGCGACGTCGCGTCTGGCGACCAGCGACCAAAGCGACGTCGCATGACCAGATCCAGCTGTCGCATCTGCTCGTGGGATCGCACACGTCGCATGCTATGCATCGGCAGCTGCTGCGGCGACTGCGGCTGCGACTGTGGCTGCTGCAAATACCACCGCGGTTGCTGTCGCTGCTGCCCCTGCCCCTGCGCCTGCGCCTGCGCCTGCTCTTGCCCAGCAGTCCATCCCCACACCTGCGCCTGTCCGCCCGCCTCCCGTTGTCCCCACCCCTGCGCCTGCGCCTGCGCCTGCGCCTGCGCCTGCGCCTGCGCCTGCCCCTGGGCTTGCCCCTGCGCCTGCGCCATACTCTGCTGATCGGTGGGAGACGACGAGATAATAGACTTGAGCGTGCTCACGAGGTTCGGGTGCATCACCGGCATAACCGGCCGCAGAACCGGCGACATAACCGGCCGCATAACCGGCGACATGACCGGCTGCATAACCGGCGACATAACCGGCTGCATAGCCGGCGCGAGGGGCGCATGCGGTAGCTGCAGCGGCGCCGGCATCAGCAGCGGCGACATGCAGACCTGAACCGCGGAGAGGTTTGGGGGAGCGGAGGGGACTGCGCATGTGGGCAGGGGAGCGGGGGGAACTGCGCCTGCCGGCATCTCCGCTGCGGAAACCAGGGGGCTCCTGGGGAAACCCGCGGGGGGAATCGACCCGGCAGGCATCGGCGGAGGAAACGACCAATTTGCGCCAACTGCTCCGCCCGCGTCTGCGCTGGCTGCAGCGGGGGCTCTCCTGCCCCCGTCTCCCATTTGCACATACGACGACGGCGGAACAGGAGGTAGCGCCGCGTGAGGGAGGCTGAGCGACGGGATTGCGACGGAATTCGTCGCCATGGCGTCGCCAGGACCCGGCGCTGCGACTGAAAGAACACCGTAAGCCGCTGACGGAAGAAGGCGGTGCGTGTGAGACTCTTGACCAAACACTGGAGGTTCTGCGGCTGCTACAGCTGCAGCAGGCGCCGTCGCGTCGGCTGTAACGTCGGATGTAGCGGCGGTCGTAGCGTCGGTTGGAACGTCGGCTGTAGCAGCAGCCGTGGACCATTGCTGAGACGGCACGCGGGGCAGGGGCGCGGGTGAAGCTGCCCCGATGCCGGGAGGAGGGGGAGGGGAGGAGGGCGAATTACCGATAGGCGCGAGGGACGAAACCCTAACAGGAGACGGATACGGCGAAGCTCCAGGAGCGACTGGCACTGTTACGCCGGGAACACTAACAGACGATGGGTTATCAACTGCACGGCTTATAACGGGTACAGATGTATGTACGGGTTCACCAGCTTTAGGTCGCTCCGCAAGTTGCGAAGTATTGGTGGTAACACAGGGACGGGTAACAGGACTTGCTGGCGACAACGAGGGAGTATGAGGAGGGCTACACGGTGCTGCTGCTACTCGCATCGTGTGCTTCTAGCGAAGCTGAAGGAGCCAGCGAAGCTAGTGCGAGAGCTATGACGCGCGAGCCGATGTGAAAATGCGATTTCAAAGCGACAGCGGGAGATGCGTGCAAGAAACACCAGATCCGAAACATTGCGGAGTTTCTTCGTCTTGACGACAATCTAATGCGTCAAGCGAATGCTAGAAATCTGGAATGACACCAGCAAGCAAGACTCGCTCGCCACACAACTGCGTTGTGCCTTCGAAATACTGTACACTACCTAGGCCTCTGTATTTTTCCTCTGCTGTTTGCAGGTCGAAGCACCAGTCACGCATCTCGCTCCTTTCCACCGCCACTTGTGGAAGTTACGAAAGGACCGACCTCGTCTTGTGGTGGAGAGCGGAAGCCATAGCCGGAAAAAGTGCACGGGAAAGTGCGAAACAATGAAACCCTACTGGCTGCTGGAAGTGTTGACAGAAGACAAACTGCAGGTCGAGCGTTCCCAACCACTTATTATTCGTCTGTGCGAAGTTCTCAACTGATCTTCCGTTACAGGGTCCCTCCTTGGTCACACGAATCTTCTGCTCGTACCATCCTTCGCGAATTCGCGAGTGCTTCTTGATGGTCAGTCTTCTGCTCGAGCCAGGTGTTGGGGGAGACGAAAGGTGGAGAGGCAACTGTCGGAGGCGGTTCTGAAAACGAAGGATTCGTTACAAGCACGGTAATTTCGAATGTTCGAATCGCCCGAGGTGAAGACTGCCCAGATGCGAAATGACAATCGACGCTAACGGTTCGCTGTATCAAAAATGTTCCATCCTGAAGCTTTAGAAGCTAGCTGCTGTAGTGCCAACTATTTATCACAATATTGTCCATGTACCAGCAATTAGGTGGTTCCTGCTAACTCAACCCATGTAACATAAGTTCGTGCAGGGGTCAGGTATCATAAATTGCAACAACTGGCAGAGGTGCACTTCCACAGGGTGCTGCATATGTTAGCCCTGTCAAATGTTGTAGCCTATAGTGAGGATTGTCTTAGGGGGTACAAAACTTAGGGTTAGCTATATGTACCCCAACCAACATCAATGCATCATCCATTCCTCATTTCAACATGGTATCAGTTAGGTTAGGATCCTGTGGGATCCCGTTCCTCCGTTCATCGTTCGTACCTCCCGAGCCTGATCCTCGCTCTCGTACGTCCCGTTCCTGTAGCTACCGAGCCTAGCGCCGGCCCTTCCGCGGTAGTGTTAGCTTTCCCCCGCTCCCCTACGTCGCGCCCGTCCCTTCCCCCCGTCGCGTCGCGCCCGTCCCCCTCCCCCCGTCGCGTCGCTTTCCCCCGTCGCGTCGCGCCCGTCCCCCTCCCCCCGTCACGTCGTGTCCCCCCCCCCCTCTGCCCTCCCCGTCGCGTCGCGTCGCTGCCCAGCGCTGTGCTTGCGACCGCGCCCGTCGCCCAGGCCCGCGCCCTAGCCCGTCGCCCAGGCCCGCGCCCCAGCCCGTCACCTAGGCCCGCGCCCTAGCCCGTCGCCCTGGCCCGCGCCCTAGCCCTTCGCCCAGGCCCGCGGCCCAGCCCGTCGCCCCAGCCCGCGCCCTAACCCGTCACCCTGGCCTGCACCCCAGCCCGTCGCCCCAGCCCGCGCCCTAACCCGTCACCCTGGCCTACGCCCCAGCCCGTTGCCCCAGCCTGCGCCTTAGCCCGTCGCCCAGGCCGCCCCTACGCGCGTCGTCACTACGCTCCACTTCCGTTTTCCACCGCTGCGTCCGCTCCCGTTGCCCGCTGCCTCGTCCGTCGTTCGCTTCCGTTGTCCAAGGGTACTGCTTAACCCTAGTCTCCCACTCGCCTACTGCTGTCCCCTACCGACACTTTTGCGTTAGTTTCCACTATTGCGACTCAGCGTGTACTTCGTTTCGACGCTGACGGTAGACCTCTTGATTTTTCCGTCTGGCTTCTTCGCGCTCGCCGTCACGAAAGAAGCAGTGCGAGGCTCCAGAGTCCAGCGTGAACGACAGCGAAGTGTCCTCCGAGGTAGGCGCTGGACTAGAGTCTACACAAGAACCTACACTAGCAACAGGCAACTGAGCAAGGCTAGCACCTAAGCTAACAACTGTCAAACATTATATATGTTGCGTTTGTTAGGCTACAGTGGGTTAGTCTATATGGGGTACACAATTCTAGGGTTTGCTATTTGTACTGATTTCTCTGTTAGTTCAATCATTCCAGTCCGTTCATTCTGACATGGTATCAGAGCGAAGGTCTCGGGTTCGATTCCCGGTGTGTGCACTTCGGGCATCCCAGTGCGGGGGGGTGTCAGAGGTGGGGAGTTCTCCTCTGGCCTATTGGAGGCCTTCTGTCAGCAGGAGGGCATTGAGCAGTCGTACACGCTTCCGGACTCTCCACAGCAGAATGGGGTTGCTGAGCGCCGCATTGGTCTGGTCATGGAGGTCGCTCGTACCTCCTTGAGCCATGCGGCTGCCCCCCATTTTCTGTGGCCGTTTGCAGTCCGATACGCTGCGCATCAGCTCAACCTCTGGCCCCGTGTCTCCTTGCCCGAGACTTCTCCGACACTGCGTTGGACGGGAGAGGCTGGCGATGCGTCGCGTTTTCGGGTCTGGGGATCCCGAGCTTTTGTCCGCGACACGTCCGCGGACAAGCTCTCCCGTCGCGCTGTCCCCTGCGTCTTCCTTGGCTTTGTCCCGGACGCCCCTGGTTGGCAGTTCTACCACCCCACCTCGCGGCGTGTCCTGGCCTCTCAGGACGTCACTTTTGACGAGTCCATCCCCTACTACCGCCTCTTCCCCTACCGCACTGCCCCGCTCCCCCCCCCGCCTCTCTTCCTCGCTCCAGGTGCTGAGGTACCAGACCCCCTCCCCCCTCAGGGTGCCGCTCCCTCAGGTGTGTCCCAGGTAGACCCGGGTGAGCCTGTCGAGGTAGCTGTTGACTCTCGTCCTGCTCGGGGTGCTGAGCCTGGGGGTGCTGCGTCTGGAGGTGCTGAGCCTGGGAGTGCTGAGTCTGGGGGTGCGGAGCCTGGGGGTGCTGAGCCAGGAGGTGAGGAGCCTGGAGGTGCTGAGCCTGGGGGTGCTGGGTCTGGGGGTGCTGCGTCTGGGGGTGCTGAGCCTGAGCGTGCTACACCTGGAGGAGCCCTCTCCTCCCAGCAGCTGCAGGAGAGGTACCTCGAGTACTGCCGCCTCCGGAGAGGTGCTGCTGGAGCTCGTCCCGGTACTTCCCCTCCTACCCAGGAGCTCCCCCCCATTCAGCAGATCCGCGAGTGGTACACACGGCGCTGCAGTCTTCGGAGTGGTGCTCCTGGTGCTGCGGACCCTGGGGGTGGCGCTGCAGCTGGTGCTGAGGACCCGGACGTTGGAGCTGCTGCTGGTGCTGCGGACCCGCCTGGTGGAGCTGCTGCTGGTGCTGAGGACTCGGACGTTGGAGCTGCTGCTGGAGCTGAGGACCCGGGCGGTGGCGCTGCTGCTGGTACTGAGGACTCGGACGGTGGAGCTGCTGCTGGACCTGAGGACCCGAGCGGTGGCGCTGCTGCTGCTGCTGAGGACCCGGGCGTTGGAGCTACTACTGGTGCTGAGGACCCGGCTGGTGGAGCTGCTGCTGGTGCTGTGGACCCGGCCGCTGGAGTCTCCTCTGCTTCTGGAGACGCTGCGCGGCCGCGACCGTACTTCGTACCGCTCCTTCAGCAGGTTCTTGGGCAGGCTCCTCCTCCTTGTCCTCCTCCCTCCGTAGAGTGTCCTCTGCCTGTCCAGTCGCAGTCACAGTTACCGCCTACCTCGCCTCTCCCTGCTCCCTCTCCTTACACTGGTCCCACAGGAGGTCTTACAGAGCGTCGTGAGCCTGAGTCTCGTCCTGCGTCGCCTGTTCGTCCTGCTCGCACTGGTAGTCGTGTCCGTCGTGAGCGTCCTCCTCCTGTCCCAGGCACTCACTACATGACTCTGCGTCCCTCTACTGCTCCTCAGCGTGTCCCTCTACCGTCTCCTCCCGCGTCTTCTTTGCCTCACGTTCCGGACCCTGAGTCTGACCGGTACCGTGCTGAGCACCCTACTGTCACGCGTCTCCTCGCTACTGTTGTCACTGACCCTACCTTTGAGTCCTCGACTGCGTCTGCTCTGGTCGCTGAGTTGGTTGACTTTGCTGCTGCCTGTCGTCTAGACTACGCTGCTAGCCTTGTTGCTGAGTCTGAGTCTGTCTGTCCTCCGTCCGTCGGGGGTGCGTGTGCTCTTGGCACGGACGTCCTTGAGGACAGACAGGAGGAGTTCCAGTGTCTTGCTGCTGCTTTGCCCCGTCTCGTGTCCTTGCTAGTTGCCCCTGAGGGAGACCCGGATGCACCAGACATCCCGACCCCGCGCACTTACGCTGAGGCGATGGCGGGTCCCTACTCCTCTCAGTGGCAGACAGCCATGGACGCCGAGATGGCTTCCTGGAAGTCCACACGCACCTACGTCGACGAGGTTCCCCCTCCTGGGGCGAACATCGTCAGTGGCATGTGGATTTTCAGGGTGAAGCGGCCGCCGGGTTCTCCGCCTGTCTTCAAGGCGCGTTACGTGGCTCGAGGCTTCAGTCAGCGAGAGGGAGTTGACTTCTTCCAGACCTTCTCCCCCACCCCGAAGATGACTACTCTTCGGGTGCTGCTGCACATAGCCGCTCACCGCGACTACGAGCTTCACTCACTTGACTTCAGCACTGCTTTCTTGCAGGGCAGCCTGCACGAGGAGATCTGGCTGCGCCGCCCACCTGGCTTCACTGGGTCGTTTCCTCCTGGTACCCAGTGGAGGCTTCAGCGGCCGGTCTACGGTCTCCGCCAGGCTCCGCGTGAGTGGCACGACACACTGAGGACTACACTTGCGGCTCTTGGGTTCGCGCCTTCTACAGCTGACCCGTCGCTGTTCCTGCGCACCGACACTTCGCTGCCGCCGTTCTACATCCTCGTGTACGTCGACGACTTGGTCTTTGCCACTGCTGACACTGCAGGACTCGCCTACGTGAAGTCGGAGCTGCAGAGGAGACACACGTGCACAGACCTGGGTGAGCTGACAAGCTATCTTGGCTTGCGGATCACCCGGGACAGAGCACGGCGCACCATCACCTTGACTCAGTCACACATGGTGCAGCAGGTTCTCCAGCGCTTTGGCTTCACGTACTCCTCGCCTCAGTCCACTCCTCTGGCTACCGGTCACTCGCTCTCAGCTCTGCCTTCGGATGAGTCCGTAGAGCCGAGTGGCCCGTATCTAGAGCTTGTGGGCTGCCTCATGTACCTGATGACCTGCACTCGACCTGACCTTGCATACCCTCTTAGCATCCTTGCACGCTATGTCGCTCCTGGCCGTCACAGGAAGG